GTAAGGCACTTGTTTCTAATAGCTTCTTGTTGTTACTGGTAAGGCACTTGTTTCTAATAGCTTCTTGTTGTTACTAGTAAGGCACTTGTTTCTACTAGCTTCTTGTTACTAGTAGTCTGGCATTTGATTCTACTAGCTTCTTGTTACTAGTAGTCTGGCACTTGTTTCTACTAGCTTCTTGTTACTAGTACGGCACTTGTTTCTAATAGCTTCTTGTTACTAGTAAGGCACTTGTTTCTACTAGCTTCTTGTTACTAGTAAGGCACTTGTTTCTACTAGCTTCTTGTTACTAGTAAGGCACTTGTTTCTACTAGCTTCTTGTTACTAGTATGGCACTTGTTTCTAATAGCTTCTTGTTACTACTAGTATGGCACTTGTTTCTAATGGCTTCTTGTTGTTACTAGTAAGGCACTTGTTTCTAATAGCTTCTTGTTACTAGTAAGGCACTTGTTTCTAATAGCTTCTTGTTACTGCTAGTATGGCACTTGTTTCCTACTAGTGTGGCACTTGTTTCTAATAGCTTCTTGTTACTAGTAGTATGGCACTTGTTTCTAATAGCTTCTTGTTACTAGTAGTATGGCACGTGTTTCTACTAGCTTCTTGTTACTAGTAAGGCACTTGTTTCAAATAGCTTCTTGTTACTACTAGTATGGCACTTGTTTCTAATAGCTTCTTGTTACTACTAGTATGGCACTTGTTATGCACTTGTTTCTACTAGCTTCTTGTTTCTACTAGTAAGGCACTTGTTACTAGAAGCGATGCACTTGTTTCTACTAGCTTCTTGTTACTAGTAAGGCCAGGAGCCCCTAGTAGCGTCCTTGCTCCTAGTAGCGATATTTCCACATGTGGAAAATCCTAATTAGGCATATTTCTACATAGGTTTCATTGATACCCTGTTTTTCATCTCTCACCACCAGTCAATGCTCGGCATTTTGAGGTGCATTTTGGAGCTGCCTCAGCTCTTGCTTGTCTTGTGCATAGGTCTCAGGACTCAAATCGTGCTTCGACGGGCCTACAGGGTTGACACATGTCACATGAGCTGCTCTATGCGTGTGCTGGCAGACTGAGGCTTGTTTGCTATCCTTTGTACCTGCTGAGCACCATGCTTTTGGTGGGCATCCGAACCGTCAAAGATGATGTATCATTCAGTTTTCTTTGAGGTTTTGGTCACGAAATGGTTGGTCATTGGCCGGTATACTCAAGGCCGGGGGAAGACACAAAGAAAACACCAAAGAAAACACAAAATACGATTTGTCAGGGGTCCCTCTAACATGCGCAGGCCGCCCATTGAAGAAAACTTCAGTTGACGTTCGTGCCAACGGGAGGTTCATTCTCAGTGGAGTCTTGGGCATTCCTGCGTTGGTGGCTGGTGGTGAGGTCCCAAGACTTTCAAGTTTGGAGAACGAGGAATAGATGGAGAAATCGGAGAGAAAATAGACAAATATGAGAAATATAGATGGAGAAGAAATGTTTGTTTCGGTCGAAAGTGCGAAGTGCGACTCCAGACCGGTCGGTGTTGAGGATCGTTTGGTGGTGTTTGTGAACGAGCTTTGCTTCAGTGCCTTTCGTGGTGGACCAGTGCGCTGATTGGTTCGAACGGGCAGTTGCGGTCAGTTGCGCCATGCTCTTGCAGGTGTTTTTCGCTTATTTGCGTGCGCCTGGGCCATAGATGGCCTAAGTACTTCAAGTGGTCACGTATTCATTCACATAATTTGACATACACACATGCAAACTGTTTCTTGACAACCGGGGTGAGCAATGGTCTCCAGCCAAAAATAATGTGAGAGAGAGAGAGAGAGATACCTTAAGAAAAAGACTTTAAAGGAAACTACCAGTGATGGCCTCCAACCTAGAAGCGATGGCCTCCGGCAAACTTGTGAGTTTTGACAGAATGTGTTCACACCGTAGGCTTCTGATTTTCTCCACAGACACCTTCTTCCACGGTACTCTCCCGGAGGCACTCCCCGTAACATGCTCAATGCGCTTCACATAAACTCGAATGAGTTAACACTTTGTTGCCGAAAGTCTTCTGCTGCCTTCAGACCTTTGCCAAAATAAGTTTCTTGTTTGCACTCTCAACAAGTAGTTGCTGAACATGCAGAGAAGACTTGTCGAAATTTCCGCATCACCCAAGCACGGGCTGGACACATAAAAAAGAGTTCCCTCACTAACAGAACCCAAAATGAATTCCCTTGCAATTTTCTCAACTGGATTACACCTACACATTGACACAGCAATTTCGTAGAACACAAAACCTTCAGTGTGAACCTGGTCATTGGGGGAGGTAGGAAGCTACTAGGAACAAGTGCATCGCTACTAGTAACAAGTGCCTTACTAGTAGTAACAAGAAGAATTCAATTAGAATCGTAATTACTAGCAAAGGAATCTACTAGGACCTTTTCCCGGCTCTATGCGCACGCATCATGCGTAGCCTGCCGACCCTGATGCCATGAACCTGCCTTTACACACAAATGGGGTCTTCTCACCGTGTTTTTATCCGAAAAAACTATTCGGCCACTTGCATTTTCCCCATCTTCGCTCGTTACTTCATCCTTGGGCTCCAAGGATGGCCACAGAACCGTTTGTTTCAAACAAGGCCCGCCTCCAACAGAATATTTAATAGGAATGGCCTCCAACCTAATAGCGAAATCTGGGTGCCTTTTGGAAAAACCATTGGCAGCGCCATTTGCGAAAGAATCAGTACAGGCCCCAATTTGTTCTGCCGATGGAACGTTCGTCACGACAGAGTTGAACATGAGGGACAAAGGGATGCACATCTCCATTCTCTTCCAACAATCGGACTAGCCACAACGACAATGCTATCTACCTTGGGGGCCATGAACAATGCCTCCAACCGTTCAAGAAGACCAAGGGCACCCCGCTCATCTACAAAGTCATCTTCCTGTATGGTGTGCCCGCCCCAAAAGACATGTGGGAACCGACAAACCTGCTCTCCTCTGGTAAATTACGCTCTTCGTCAAAGTATGATTGCCTCTCGGGATAGATTCTGCAAAATCATCCGAAGACCTTCCAGACAATGCCTGGCCCAACCTGTTTTTGGTATGTAAAATCCTCTCGCTCTGCTGTGCGCCCTGCAAACAAGACTATAACGTGGGCGTCACCAAAGTTAATCTAGTTTGGTATCGTATGCTCGCTGTTGGCATATGTATTTGCCCTCTGGTGACATAGATGTTGTGTGGTTTTGTATAGTTAAAATTCCTTTGGAAAAAGCTTCAATGACAGTGTAGTGGAAAGCTATCTGTGGGAACCATGCCAGAACCTTTCTACGAAATCACTGCGGCCCAACCTCCCTTGGTCCATCAAACCATCTTCCTGTTTGCTTCGCACTCCAAAGAGAGAACACGCGGCATCAAAAAGATTACTGTCCCCTGGCTAGATTTGCAATCCACCTCTTTGTTAAAGCATGTTTGCCTTTGGTGGTGACAGATGCAGTGTTGTGGTGCAATGTTTCATAATTCTTGAACGAGGAGTAAGGACGCTACTAGGGGCTCTTGGCCATACTACTAGGAGCAAGGGCCTTACTAGTAGTAACAAGAAGCCATTTGAAACAATGTTCGCTACTAGGAACAAGTGCAGGAACTATAAGTCGTGGAAAGCTAGCTGCAGGAAGCAGCATGCCCCCAACCCTTCTATACGACTAGGGCGACTAGGGCCCACCCGAGCTGGTTTACAAAATCATTTTGTGCGGCGAGCGCCCACCAAAATTTAATGTGTGCATCAACAAATTTGTGGAGTCGGCAAAGAACGTCAGCCTATCACTTGATCATACATGTTACAATGTTCATCAATGCTCTTTACCGTGGTCGGTTCAAGGCAGTGGTTGCGTAGTCCTGGTAAATGATAGCAATCTTAGTCTCAATCTAGCTGTATCATGATCCTTCTAGTAGGTACATGAGAGGTAGGGGCAGCTCATTTCATGGTAGATCTCCAAGTCACTATCACTATCAACATTGTTTTATTATCATATGATCTGGGACCTATTAGTACTAATGACCCTGAATCACATTTCCCAGGACCCTGTGTGCAAATCCTGCACGAGCATGGATCGCTGGATCTTGCTTTTGCCCCACCATGCTGTTGGGCTGATGAAGTGTGTCTTTTTTTGCCTTGGGCTATCACACTGGCTATCACAGCTCAAAGGAGTGCCTCTTGAGTACTAGACTCTACAATGACACGTTCTTGGTTTGGCCATGTTTGTTTGGTCGACACTTCTTTCCGTATGCGTTGTTCAACTTAATGTGTTGCTTAACGCTCGATTTGCCCATGTTCAGACGCACGCTTCCTTGCATTCACGCTTGAGCCTGTTGGAAGTTCTGGTTGGTTGCCCTTTTGCATTCCATTTTCGTTGTGTATAGTTGTTTCGTTCCTTGGTTGTACCCATCCAAGACCATGGAAGAAGGGGTGTTGCCTTAATGGTTCTAGCTTTCTCCATGAGATATGAAACACAAGGCGCGGATGTGAGTTTCGTCAAACATGTTTTGAAAGGTTGAAGTCAAGAAGAAGACAAGTCAAAAAAGTACTCGTTTTATTGCTACTAGGAACAAGTGCATCGCTACTAGTAACAAGTGCCTTACTAGTAGTAACAAGAAGCGAACGTACAAACAAAAAGCTCTTTTCTTTTTCGATTCTTCGATTCTTCGCCGCGCTTGTCGAGGCTCGGCCTGCGGGCTCGCGGCTACTGCCGCATCGATACGCGCTACGTGTCGGAGCTGCTCGGAGCAGAGTGCGGACAGAGTGCGCTGCACGGACATCTTAAAACCGTGCCAAGGTGCAAAGAAGCATCAAACAGCATCGTGGCTGGTGTCAAGAATGGTTTAAGGGCATCGCTACTAAGAGCAAGGAGTCAAGGAGGCTACTAGGGGCTCCTGGCCTTACTACTAGGAGCAAGGTTCGCTACTAGGAGCAAAGAACTCAACCGTTTTTTCTAAGGGTGTCATTTCTATGGCGACGCACGATTGATGAACCTCCCCTACAAGGTTACTATTTGGTGCAAGGAAAGGAGATGCCAAATGTGGGCTTAGGCAAATGAAAGAGGTTGAAGAAACGTAAGCAAGGCAGTTAGTACTGCAAAACAGCAAGCAAAAGGTTTACTAATTGTGGTAAGTGTTCGCTTGAAGAACAAAACCAAAATGGTCTAGAAGTTTCTTTTGAAAGGCGGCAGGAATTCCGCATGGGAGGAACAATGCGGACGAAATTAAGGGGTTAAGCGCTACGTAGCATCTGCGGCATCGGGCGTAGACAATTCTCGCCATAGCGACATGTAACCAGTCAGGCCTGGCTGCCCCCTGGTGATGCCATGCCTAATCGAGCCCACTCTTCTCTAAAGTAGTAACAAGAAGCTATTAGAAACAAGTGCATCGCTTCTAGTAACAAGTGCCTTACTAGTAGTAACAAGAAGCTAGTAGAAACAAGTGCATCGCTTCTAGTAACAAGTGCCTTACTAGTAGTAACAAGAAGCTAGTAGAAACAAGAATTAGAATACAAAAGTTAGCTTCTTGAGACTCTTCTCTCTGTCCTCACTTTTGATCAAAATCCGAGCCAGGTGCACGGGGGGTTTGTTGCACTCGATCCCCTCCGCCCTCGGCCATCACAAGTCTCATCCCTCCTCCCCAACACCACAAGCCCTCAGTATCCAACCCAGCCCCATCTCACTTCAGCAAGCTTTACTTCGCTGCTTGCTGCTTTGCTGCTCATTTGCTGGTTTGCTTGCCATGTGTGATTCTCAGTGTGCGAATCTGGAACTTACCAACCCATCACATGTGCCAGCGTTGAACGACCGATGAAGAACGTGCAGCTTGAGAGGCGTAGCATGGCGTAGCTCGAGCAGGGGTAGCTCGTTTGTGAAAATGTCGATTTCGCCCGAACTTCCCAGGTTCGACCTGATCACTCTGGGCAACTGCTGCGTTGTTGCTGAGGGCGCGAAGCTTCGGCCAGCAGTGGCCGAGGCAGAAAGTGTGAATTGCTGAAAGGTTTGCTGAAAGCATCTGAAATTACAATTCTACTAGGAACAAGTGCATCACTAGTAGTAACAAGTGCCTTACTAGTAGTAACAATGTTTGCCAGCTAATTTAATTCTAAAAGCAAACATTGTTACTGAATTTTTTGGGCGACAGAACTTCACGGCAGAAAGGGCCGAGAGCGAGGCTGGCACTTTGCACTTGCGCGGCTTGGTCTTCGGGGACCACTGTGCCGTGGGCGAAAATGCCGTTTGTGTCTCAGCCGAAAACGCTTTCAGTTTTAAAAAGTCGAATGTTTCACCTTTTCAGGTGTGCACGGCGGGTTGTGTTGCGGGTGACAACGTCACACTCCAGCCTTTGTGCCCGAGACGTGTTTTGAAAGTGTGCTTTGTGTCAATCTCTGGAATGCAAAGAAAAGTTGTTTTCTTCTATCTTTTGGCACCTTCGGAAGGGTGTGAGTGTGCTTGCCAGGTCCTTGTTCTCTGGACGAACTGGTCGTACCCTTCCAGACGGATCTGCTCTTTGCCCAGTGTCCTGGTGCAGGTTGAAAAAAACATCAGATGTGTTTGGCAAGGTTTGGAAAGGTGCTCCTTTGGTTCAGTCGAGGCGAGAGCGTTCCGATTTATGAAGAGCTTTCGTTATCTTCATTTGTTTGCGATCGCCCAAGATCGAATCAAAGTGTTGCTTGACGGGGTTCGTTTGGGTTTCAATGATGATCTTTACCGATCAACGAACTTCCCAATGAGAGATATGAGAGAATTGGAAGTGCCACTGCTGCACAGCCACACAGGCAGCAGCCTATACGTGTTCCTCCAGGAATGTTGGGTATATGCCTGAGCTGCCCCACGTCAAAGAAAACCCCCGCTAGTAGTAACAAGTGCCTTACTAGTAGTAACAAGAAGCTACTAGTAACAAGTGCATCGCTAGTAGTAACAGGTGCCTTACTAGTAGTAACAAGAAGCTATTAGTAACAAGTGCCATGCTAGTAGTAACAAGTGACGCTACTAGGAGCTCCTCTTGGGATGCATCCACAGGTCAGGTCTACTCTTGTCCTTTGCTCCTACCCCCTCCCCGGCACGCGCGCGCGCGAAAGGTCCTAGTAGTTTCCTTTGCTGATTTTAATTCTCTCATTCTTGTTCCTAGTAGTAAGGCCCTTACTCCTAGTATGGCCAGCCCCGTTCGTAGCGTCCTTTGCTAAGGCTGGGATCTTTGTCGTGAGACCTTCGCCTTTCTTTTGGCTCTTTTCTTGCAGACGCCGGCCTGGATCACCGTTGACCGTTCGGCCGACGGTCGGTCCGTAGTTCGGGCACCTACTATAGTCACAGAACTCATGACCCCCCCCCCCCTGAACCCCCCCCCATGTTAAGTTATCCAACCTGGGTCCATGGACTTTTGAGAGAATCAGGCAGACACTCAGAGGATTTTCGTGAATTTTGAGTGCCCACTGACTGGAGGTTTGCGTGGAGCCATATCATTTGATCGTGTGACACAGACCGACTGAGACAAACAGATAATCACACACAGACGGACTGTAATTCTGAACTATGGTATACACTTAAGTAGACAGACTGACTCAGACTGACTCACTGTCACTGACGACTGACTGACAGAGCAAACGGCGTGCAGAAACAATAGTAACTATATAAAGAATTACGACAACTTCTTGGATTCTTGAATTCAGCATCACTGTCACTGTGTGATGCGTTGGCGATGGCGGTCAGTTCTGCAAGCGAAGCTGCTATCTCGAAATGCGCCTTTGACTTTAGTAAAATGTGAGCAAATAGTCTCAGACTGTCTGACTGACTGAACGGAGTTGAGTTCACAGGAGTGTGAGTTAGGACTGACTGACTGACTGACTGTCTGTACCAGATTTAAAGTTAGAAATGACAAAGCGAGTCAAAGTCCGCATTATATGACGTGTATTGAACGTGTATTATTTAAAGAGCACTCGAGTCGAGTCTAGATTACGAATCTGTTACTCCGAAAAAAAAAACGCTTGGTAGTTAATTCTGATTGAAACTACAAAATGACAATGATCGAAGGACAATTGAGACATTGACAAATTGAACCTGTTTTACTCCGTATGACTGCGGCGGATTCCAGGTATTGTGCAAATTCCAGATGGGCATGCGCTGGAAGGCTTTATAGTGTGTGGTCGAGGGGAGAGACAGACATTGTGGTCCATGCTAGATGTTGGCAGGAATCTCTTCCAATCCAAGAAAGAGGAAAAAATACGACTACACATGACTGATGCGTCAAAGGTGAAGCACGTAGAAGACTTCCACCACTCTTTGTTTCCTGGAATTGCTGTGCCTAAAGAACCCGCTTCCAAACACGCGAAGAACACTACAGCTGGGGACCGTGGGCTCTATCTCAAGAGACGTACGATGGCGACCTCTATGCTAGTTTCATGGATAGCGTACGGCATTGCATTTGCAAAGAGAATGCCGGATGATCGCAAGCGAGCAATACACTTACTGCACGGTCTGTTGATGAAGCTGCTCGTGACAGTGAGCAAGGTACGGCTACTGGTGCCAACATCCGGTCGTGTGGATTGTTGGAGTGAAGTCTATGTGGGAATTGATGGGAAGATTGCCGCCCGGGAGTGTTATTCCCCAGCCGTGCTGACTACCATTAGAACTTCATGGGAGAATTACCGGTTACAGGGCCTGCTAGACTCACACTTGGACAGCCCGTCACTGTGGGATGTGATTTGCTTTGCACTATTGCCTGACAACCCCCAGAACAACCTACTGAAACCATTGAGTTTCAGTCTCCTTGCTCAGATCACGAAGATTTTTGATGAACAGCCCGTGGCAATGTCAGAGAAAATCTCGAAGTACAGGGACATGCTGCTTAAGAATCGGGCCAGAACCACTGTCGCACTCCGGTCAGCTGTGCGCAGCGTTGGTGTTTTCCTTTTGCATGAGAACGTTACCCACGCTGAATTGGTCATGTTTTGGGGTTTTCATTCTGATTTGATTATGAGTCAATCGGCGTTCGGCTGTATTGCAGGCTTCATAGCGAATTAATGGATAATAGTCGAGTCGAATCAATCCATCATCGGTGGACCCCCTGACAGTAACAATAAGAAACGTAAGAAGCGGGTTACTCGAATAGGTGTTCGTAACGTCGGATTCCTTAATTCACAGGTTGTGGTGTTACCTGCAATCGAAAGCACCCAGGAGGACAATGGGATGACCTTCAGAAAAGCGCTTGACAAGTACGAGATGGAGCACGTCCGCAGCAATCGATTTGCATGGCAGTTCACGGTTTGTGCCTAAGACAGTGACATGAGATTCTGAGATGGACAGACAGTCAGACAAACGACTTTTGTACTTTCTATTAACATTGCTGGCAAACAATATGATAAGTATTAATTGGAAACGAACAAACGTAACGTAAGTAACAAAAACAACATAGAAGACGGACCATTATGATGTCAAAAGATGTCAAAAGTCACGACGTGACTCCTGGTGTTGTAGCAAAAGCGCGATAATAATAAGAAATATAAATTTGTAGGTCGTCCATGTTTGTATTTTATTTCAGTCTAGAAGAGTTAAACAAAAAAAGCGTCTGACTGAGTCACTGGTCACAGACTGATCTGTCACTCAGTCTGACAGTCAGACAGACAGTCTGACTCACTGACTGACTGACAGACTGACGGGCGCCTAAGGCGTCCTACTGGGCAAGGGCCTGCGCTACCCTCTCACAATGCCAGAATTTCTGGGCATGGGGTCCCAAAAAGAATTGGAACAGGAGTAACAGGAGTTGAAGAGTCGTGCAAGTCTAACTGACTGATGAAATTCACTATGGACATTGAACAGCTCACTGACAATTGACTCAGCCGATGACTAGACTTCGCTGAGGTGTACATTGATGGAAGCACTGTGGCGTGCAAACCCACAGAGCTTTGCTTCCTCTACTCGCCGGACCCGGACATCCGAAGCGGGGCATACGCCCCCCCTGTTGTCGGGGCCCTGGCTGGCTAAAACGTGTTACATCAGTCAGGGGGGAAGATTCTGTCAGAGTTCAGGGCTGAGCCAATGGCATTCACCGTCACCCCCCTAAGGCCCTAGGTCACGTCAGGTTCCACGAGTCTTTTTTCCGCGAAGCAAGTAGCAAGAGTGTGGACTGCGCTACTGCACTGCGTGATTTTGATCGTCACCGTCGCCACGCTGGCAGAGTCAGAACTTCAAAAGCGACATGTTCTATTGTCATAACTTTGGGCGGAGACCAGTTCTATCAATACGAAGTGAATGTAGTCAATTAGTCTTATACTTGGCAGGAACCGGCCCCCAGCAGACACTGCACAAAATAACCAACGCGGGTAACTGACTTATTGATCTTCCTCAGTCTCACTCAATTGGTCAGTTGTCAGACTGGCTAAAACATCCTGCTGTTGGGCCATGGACCTGTCTATTTCAGTGGTCAGCTCTGATGAAAGTGGAACACCGGTGACGCAGAGCAGCTATAGTCCACAACCAATGCAGGCGAGGGGGGGGTTCACGACCAGAGACAGTCAGACTGCGAGGCGGCATCCTGGAATCCTGAAACAGTCCTTCTTTATTAATTCCCTACCAGTTGAACTGAAGCAAGAACCAGTAGCGTAGCAGCTCAGACAGAGACTGTCTGTCTTATGAATCAATCAACTAATGATAATAAGATATTATTGAATCATACAAACAGTCATTGACTGAGTCATGTCTGAGATTATCAGACTCAGTAATCAATGAACAATTAGTTATACATCCATCCATTAAAATAAGATTTTAAATTTTGGGATGTTTCTTTGAACTTGTTAACCTGGATGATTCCTTCCTGTCAGTCACTGTCCGAATTTCAGTCAGGACCTTCTTGGAGATCCAAATCTCTTGGCAAGAGCATCACGTGGCTTCCAAATTGGCTGGCGCATCATTGTGGAAAGTATTCCAGCGCGGCGTCTCAAGGACTGTCTGTCTGTCTGGCTGACTTGTCCGTCGGACTGCTTCCTGAGATCAACGATTCTAACGATTCTAACTGCTGTAAATTAAATTATGACATATTATAACAATTGTGGTCTGTGAATAATATCACGGCATATTTGATAATACATACGTTTCGTGACTCGTCATTGACAAATTAATTGAATCGAGGGAACCCGTAACGATGAACATCCACAAGTTGCAGATTATGAAATTAGTTACATGTCCCGATTCCATGTCCCGATTTCGATTCATTCATCGGAGGAATCACTACTCTTCACTGGCAGGAAGGCCACATCGTCCTGCACGGGTGCAGGTACCAGTGAAATGTCTCTAGCAGTCGTGGAGAAAACGGTCAATGATTCTGGAGGGCTAGATGGGAGATACATGGACATAAGGATCAGCAGTGCACACGAACCTTGACAAGTGATCAGTACGGTACAGTCATCTTAGCAGCTAGTGCAGTGCACTGACAGAGAGAAACCGTATGACTATTATTAGTAAACAATGTTCCTTTCAGATTTCTCACAACACAGACTAACAGTACAGAGTCAGTCATGTCATACTCAGGAGTGGGCCACGAAATGTCATCAGCTGATCAACGACGCCCATCACTGGATTAAACAGCTCTTAGGCAAGCATTACCCTACTCCGTGCATCTTTGGGGACTTGGAAGGTGTAATTCCGGATGGTTCATATGAGCCATCGGATTGCTTCATGAAGAAGTTCTACTCCATTGACGCTGCTGACGTGTGCGTCAAACAGTACTGCCACGCACACAGTGGTGATTGCCCTCTCCTCAGAAAAGACAGCGACTTGGAAGTTGCAGGCCTGCCATGCTGGGACTTTAGCATTGCTGGCAAGAGGAGAATGGAAGAGGGTCCCACCAACACCGCCTTTATAACGCACGCAAAGCGGATGGTCGAGAAGGAGGTTCCCCTGGTATTGATCGAAAACACCAAGGACCATTTTTTCGGGCCGGGGAAAAAGGTTTGTTATGATATGTTCATGTGGTTGGAATTATGTGTTATGATGAAGTGTGTTGTAAACTGTTTTGCGCCGATCACAAAGCCAACAATATTGAAAAGATCACATGACATATTCTTTCTTCAGGGTCTCTGTAATTTTAATTTGAGTGCGTCAGTCTGACCTAAGTCTAAGTGCAGTGAATATGCAAAACTTAAAACGTGCCAGAACCTACGGATCCAAATGATCAAGCTGCTCTACGGGGGGCACTACAACATCAAGAAGCTCATGACTGAAACAGATGATGTAGGTCACTCTGGC